ACCTTCAGCCCCTTATGTTTTGGTTATTTTGGACATAGGGTCTTGCTTTTTACCCAGACTGGCCTTGGCCTCAATCCTCCTAGTTAATGCTTCCTGCCATTGCTAGGATGACAGGTGCATGCTGTCATGCCCAGGTACTTTTTGTCCAGGCTGACCTGGAACCTTGATTCTTCCATTCTCAGCCTCCCTCTTAGCTTGAGATTACAGGTGTGCACCACTGTGCCCAGCTGTTGTTTGAGATGGGAGTCTCATGAACATTTTGCCTGGGCTGATGTGGAACCAGGCAGCATGAGCCACTTTGTCTTTTTTTTTTTCCCCCCGATTGCTTTTAAGATCTCTTTGCCTTTGAGGTTTCACAGAAATATTTCTAAGTGTGGATTTTATTTATCCCAATTTTATTATATGCTATGTGTCCGATTGGTGCCTGTCATTAGATCTGAACAATCTGAGCCACTATCTCTTCAAATGTTTCATTTTCTTCTTTCACTTCTCTACTGTTCAGAAAGGGAATTGACTGAGTTCAAACCCCAGTGTTGCCAACCAACAACAATAAAAACAACCCCAAGCCCAACAAAACAGAGGGGGAACTGATTAGATGTGTGTTAGCCCCTCAATTTTATCTTCCTTATTTCTGTCTTTACATATTTATGTGGCCTTCTGGTTTATTTCTTTTGCCTGCCAGTTGATTGATTCTTCAGGCATGTCTAATCTCCTTAATTGATTTGTTGAATTTTTAAATTTCTGCATTTAAGTTTTCATTCCAGAAAAATTCTGATTTTTAAATTTGTCTCTCTTCCTTTGGGGAGGGAATTGGCTGTTGAGATTTCCCTTTCTAGGAGTCCAACAATATGCTAAATTCTTCCTTCTTTTATAGAAAAGCCTTTTCAGTCTATATATTGTTAGAACTAGAATGAGGTTAAATATGCAAACTGCCTGTCTGGGTACTTTATAATTGCTTTTTTTTTTGGCTCTACTGGGGTTTGAACTCAGGGTTTCATGCTTGCTAGGCAGGCACTCTACCACTTGAGCCACTCTGGCAGCTGGTTTAAGTACTTTAAAATTACTAATTTTTTTCTGCCTTGTGAACTTGCATTTTCCTGACTGGTGCTTTATATCATAAAGTTCATTTTTGGTTATTTGTTGTGGATACTTTTTTTTTTTTTTTTTTACTGTTTTCTAATTTAAATTTCTGTATGTATATTTACTATACATATTTTAAGCTTGTGTATTTTCTGTTTTTGATTTTAGAGGATGATATGTATCCATTTCTGTTTTCTGTTATTCTGGGTTTGTATGGAGTAAAGGTATAGTGTGCTTTGGAAAAGAGGGAATCCTGGTAGAACTTAAATCAATAGAGATCCAAGAAAGTCCATTAATTTCTCTTGCTTGGTAATTAATGTCCTATTTAGAGCAGTGGTTCTCAACTGGAAGAATTTTGCCTTCCAAAAGGAGACTTTTGATTCTCACTATTTGCTGGGTGGTGCTTCTGACACAGTAAGTAGAGGCCAGGGATGGTGCTCAGCACCCCACCATGTGCAGGACACCCTCCACCATAAATCAGTCTAGCCCAAATGTCCACGCACTAAGATTAAGAAACTCTGTCGTAGCCAAATGAAAATAAGGTGCTGATGTGGGTGGGTGGGTATTAGAGGATTTGGGAGGGAGGGTTTTCAGGTTTTAGGAGAGGAAGGACATTTTGTCTTTCCCATATTTTCTTTCTATAATTCTTCGGCACAGATGTTCATATCCCTAAAGCAAATCAAAATTTTTTGACTGCCACGACTAGTCAGTTGGCCTTTATTTCTTGTCATTGTTCTAACTATAATAATACGTACTTGTCATGGAAAACTTGGAGAGAATAGAAAATTAACAACAGAAAAAAAATCATTCAAGTCAGGCGTGATAATACATGCTTGCAATACCAGCTCTTGGGAGCTGGGAAGAAAGATCTTGAGTTTAAGGCCAGCCTGGACTACATAGTGAGGCTCTCTCTCACCACCACCACCAACAAAAAAAATCATTCAGTCCTATTAACATTTTGGAATTTTTGGCTTTCTTTGCAGAGAGTTTTTTATATAACTGAAAATACTATGCAGTTTTTCATCTTAAAAAAATTAAAACAGCATAAGTATGCAAAATGTTAAATAGTTTTGTCATAATTCAGCCACTTACCTTTTGATATTGAAGAGTTTCTAATGTTTTCCTATTAAAAATGTTTGATGGACAGCTCATATATAATTATTTAACCATTTTTTGGATGCCTCTTTTAGAATAGCTTCCCAGAATGGGGTTGTTGGGAACGAGATAGTTGATAAAAATTGGTGAATTTATCCTACCACCAGCAGATAAGACTACCCACTTTCCCTGCAAATTCATCAGTCTGAATGCTATGTAAGAGATTCAGAGAGTCAGCCATCAGTTTTTCACCATACTTCATTTGTAGCCATGTGATATCCGTGCACAAAGCTTTTGGAGGCTAAAATAAGAAATCCCTGGTATATTCTTGTGTTGGAAATGTAGTTGGTACGTCTGAATAAGTAGAATATAAAAGAGCGTTTACAGAAAGTAACATGAATGTGTGGGAAATTTCTTTGTGATAACTTGATTTCTTTGTAATGAATGTGGCCTTACAAAATTGTGTCTGCATTTTTGTAAATTGAGTCCTATTTTAAAAACACTGAGATACTTACCTGGCAGGGGAGATACCATGATCACAAAGGTGGTTTTCCCAGAACAGGCTTATCCATTGAACTCTGGATGTGCTGACCCCTGCGATTTCCCCAAATGTGGGAAACTCGACTGCATAATTTGTGGTAGTGGGGGGACTGCGTTCGCTCTCTCCCCTTAAAAAAAATAAAAAAAAAACACTGAGAAAATTCATTTAAATAGAAAAAAAGTCCTTTCATAGTTTTGTTATGAGTCCATTCTGCTTGTATTTGTTCCCTAAGTTCAAAATTTTGTTTGTTTTTTTTTAGATAATATGAATACTTTCTTTGTTCATAAGTGGACCTTATGATATTGACAGGGTGTGGAGGTAATCAGTACATACACTTTATTGCATTGTGAGATCATAGAATTACAGAGTTACCTTTAGGATTTCCTTTTTACTCATTGAACAGTTTGACAGATATTGCAGTGTAATTCTTTGCTACAAAGTTTCGAAAACATACACATTTGTAATATTAGTGTTTGAGTCTTTCTCACAGAAGGTTATTCCTTTTCCTTTTTGTAAAAGAGCTATTATTTCAAGGGAAGTGGAAAGGTTAGGGTTTGTCTGGAAAAAGAGGAGATATGAAGGACAAAGTTGCAATGTGAGAGGAGTAGAGGCATTCAGGAGAACAATAGTAAGATAATAGCAAGCTAGGGTGTAAATATATATCATAAATTAATAAACTTCCTCCAAAGTGGTGAGTTTAATCTTGTTCTTATAATATGGATGAATTAGAAAAAACACAGTGTTATGCTTTAAATGAATTGTAATGACTTTGCACTTTTGGAAATGTTAGACATAATCTTTAGATTTGCATGATTGCAAATAAATTAAAAATGTACTTCAAATTATTCATACTGAAATTATTTCTTCACAGGTAGGTTTGAAAATTTTACCAAAATAGAACTGTAGTGGTTAGAGCAGTGGTTAGAATGTTTAGTTTCTCCTCTGTTCAGTCTTCGTTGCCATATTTTATGACTTCTTTATTTCCATATTTTATGATCTATTTGGAGTTGGAAGGAAAACAGTTTATTAGTTTAAAATTTAAAGCAAAACAAAATAACAGTAAAACCCAAGTTAACTTTTCTCTACCTCAAAATATGAAACAGATAAAGTAAAAATTCAGATGTGACCTGACACATGGAAGAGGGAGAAAGAAGAGAGTTCTGAAAGTTGAGGAGCTTTTGTTAGTTCTGAATTCTCCTTAGTATTTTGACTTAAAAGTATTGTGAATTTCTAGAAAGTTTTACACTATAATTACTCAAAAATGTTTCCAGAAGATTTTTGAAACATCTTTGGTTCACTTATTATTTTATATCATTGATAAATCTCTTATTTAAAGAGTATAGATGATTGCAAGTTGACTATGACAAATTCCATAGAAACATTATTGGTCTGCTCTAGAACCTAGATTCCAAATAAGGTCTTTTTTGTCAACATGTATATAGCCCCAAAGTAATTTTATGGAATTTGCATAGATTATTTAACCTTGGTTCTTGTGCGTAAATAGGCCACTTTGTGTTAGTAGGATAAAATTCTTTTTGAGTATAGCTCTTACTCAGTTTTTAATGTGCATGATACAATATCCTCCTAAAGCCTCCATATAGAAAAGGCTTCAGGGTTATAAAAGACCTAAAATGTCAATGAATTCTGTATCCAGCTATTTCTTAAATCCCTTCTTTGAGCCCCTGTGGTTTCCTCTTGAATGTCTACTGCTTCATGGGGTGATTGAAAGTATTTTTTATTATAAACCCTTGCTTGAATTGAGGAGAGTACTTCATTCATATTGGCTAATTACCTCAAATTTTCTTTGGTTAGCTTTTATGTAGTTTGTTAACTTAGCCTCAAACTTACTTAAAGTTAGTAGCTCCAATCTTAACACATCACTGTGTATTTCTTAGGAAACACGAAACTGTTTGCTTCTAGGAAACATGGAATATTTAAAGAATTAGTTTTTAAATTGTTTAACATAGTGCTTTTTATATTTATTGTCTACTCTTCATTAGAAATATGCTAAAACATTACTTGCATTTTCTAGGAGCTTGTCTGGTGTATATACTATGTGATCCTTCTAGGTGGTTAGTTGAACTTATATATATTATTTAGTATGAATCCGACCACTTTGACATCTATGTGAAGACTAATAGCTTAAAATAATCCTTAGTTTTACATTATGTAATGAAAACACTGTTCCAGGTTTAAATGTGCTAATTAAAAATATTTTGAATTACTAGATGTGTAATTTTCAAAATATATAATAGTAAATTTTGTAAAATGCTTTATCTTTTAGGCGAGGATTAAATCCACCACACAGGGTGAAATCTATCTCCATGACAACATTTACACAACAGGAAATTGAATTCCTGCAAAAACATGGAAATGAAGTAAGTGTTTTTATAATTTTCAACTTTTTTTTGTTGGCAGTCATTTTAATAAGAATTGATAAGTTGCTTAAAATGGTGAATGTCATGTTCTAAATGCATTGCTTTTATACTCTATTTAGAGATTTTAGGATATACTCATTTAATAATATATTTAGAATTAATGATGTCTAAACCTGTTAAGCTGTTGTGTGATCAGCTTTCACTGAAGGTCCTCACTTGATTTTTTTACTAAATGTTTATCTTTGAATGTACATGTAATGTTTAATGTTTAGCAGTCATTAGAAATGACTAGAAGGGATTCAGGAATCTAAACTCTCCCAAGAGGTTTGTAAGTTGATTGACAACTTAATGCGTTCACTGTGACAGTCACTGTTCTAGGTACTGTGGATGCAGTTACAGATGTGTCACACAGGCTTAGTCAATAGAGCATTTACCTTTGGAGAGACAGATATGTAACAAGTAATTGCAACATGGTGTTAGATAAAAATAAAGATAAGAACTTTCAGAAGTAATGTAGAAGACACTCAATCTGTTGGTGAAAAGGAAAGAATTGGGAAGACCTCACAGAAGAGACAAAAACATTTGCTAGTTTTGGAAGGTGACTAGGGAAAAACATGGGGATGGAGCAAACCCAGTACACAAAGAAAAAGGGAAATTTGTAATAGGAAGGTAGGAAATATACCAATCTCATAACTGCTTATTAAGACAAACTTCCTCATTAGCATAGCTGAGGATACCTTAGAACCAAAATATTGGACTAGGTACAGTTGGATCTTTTCATTATTATTAGTACCTATTTTTAAACACTTAAGAGATGTGTAGAGGGAGAGGACTAATATTATGAAATGCAGCATGTGTGGTACAACCTCATAACAAAAATTTCATGGACTTTAATTGTAGATATTTTATTATTATTTTATCTTAACCATTTACATTTTATTGTATGTATGTATTTATTTATTTTAGTAGCATTGGGGTTTGAACTCAGGGCATCATGTTTTCTAGGCTAGCACTCTGATTGTTTGAGTCACTCTGCCAGTCCTTAACCATTTAAATTTTTACATGTATAGAGAATAGGATTTATTTTAGAATTTTTTCCCTTAATACTTTGAATCAGGATCCAACTGATTAGTCACGCACATTATGAGTGGCTAATAAGCATTTTAAAATTATATAGTGCTTTAAAGGCTGAATATTTCCATGTTTCAAAATATGTTGTCCTATTTCTGTAGTTACTTTTAAATAGTTTGCAATTGATCATACTCAGTCACAAATTTAGAATTTAAATGGCACTGTCTTTATATGTTCATTTTAGGATTAAAATGGATATCTTGTCCATGAATGGATCCATACCTGAAATGAGTGTTTCTGAATTCTAAGATCAGAAATATATTGGTTTCAATAGCATTTTTGGATTTTCTCTCCATCACAGGGGCGTTCTAGTGTGCTGGGAGACGTTTGGTTGTTGTCACTATTGGAAGGTGTTGCTGGCTTAAGCTGGGTGATTGATGACTTGCAATATGTTGAATGGAATTTACTTGCATTCCACATGCTTTATATGGTTCTCCAGACATATATTATATGGGAAACACTGATATAAAATAATCTGCATATACAATTTAATCCTGTCTTAACATGCACTACAGTTGTGAACAGTCTATTGTCAAAGAAAGCTGTGTCCCAAGCCTAGAACCAAGTGGGAGAGAACTATCTTGGTTCTAGGCTTGGGACACAATAATTGAGACCATATACTCCATGTGTATATCTAGGGAGGATGTTCCTCCAGAATTTTATCAGGAATTTCTTACCCTTAGAAACCACAGAACTCATGGCAATACAGATGGTATTTTAGTCACCAGTACAGTCCCTCTGTATTGGGTTGTGTTGGTAGCTGTGACAAGCAAGAAAACTATTGTTTATAAATATGCTGAAGGTCATGTATTTATAGACCCCATATTATTTATTCTGTAGATAATGGTTTAAAAATTAGTTAAATGCTACTTTAGTGTTTTTAGATTGTCACATTGAGTTTGGTGAATCAGATATGTCCCTTACTAAGTTTTAGAACATATATAAGCTGGATGGTGATGAAATATATTGTAGTGAAGCACTCTGTATTTGTTTGCTAAAAAGTTTTTGACCTTTCTTCCAAAAGCAGATTATTTCACAAGAAATTTCCATATACTTATCTTGTGTTAGTCACCTTGTCACTGTAACAAAATGCCTGAGGTACTGACTTTTCAAAGAGAAAAGGTTTATTTTGGTTCATAGTTACGGAGGTTCCAGTCACTGACCAACTGGCTTTGTTTTCTTCGGACCTGTGGTGAGGTAGCACATCATTGGTAGGAAGTGAATGAGAGTGGGAAGGGGTCTGGATCCTAGAGCCTCCTTCAAGAGCATGCCTGGTGATTTAAAGACCTTCTACTAGGCCCTACCTCTCAAAGGTTCAAAAGCCCTGGGACCAGGCCTTTAATACATGGGCCTCTTGGGGACATTAAGATCCAAACCAAAGCATTTTGTAATGCTTTCTTTTGTATCATAAAGTGCCTTTAACATTTTTCTAGTGGTTTCCTCTCTATATCCACTTTTGTGATACTGTGTGTAAATAATGATTTTCTAGTTAAAGAAGTTTCATTATTGGGTTAACTTCTGATTGCCAAAGTTAATGGAAGGAGGACCAATGAGTTGTGCTACAGATAATTCAATAGAAAAGAAAATGTAGAAATAATTTTATTTTGAAACAAACATAGTTTTTCTTGTAGTGAATGAACCTTCATCATTATGTTTTAGAACTGAAGGATGGAGAGGAAAAGCATTACTGTCAGTGCTCCACAGGCATATAGTCTTGCTAATATTTGATTGTCTTTGTGTTACATTCAAGACAACAGTTGCTTTTAAAATAAAACCCTAAGATAAGCTACACTTTCCCCATTATATTCATGATTGATTCATTCTTCATTCGGTCCAAAAAATATTTTTACTGGAACGTCTAGGAATCATTTTATATTTTTCTTAGTCTGTTATGAAATCAGATAGAATACTATGGCTTTCCTATGTCATCCTGTCCTATAAACTATAACAAGTGGCAGTTTTTCTCACTAGAGAATGGTGGATTCTCACAAGCATAAGTAAGGCCTGTATCAAAAAGTGTTCTTGGGACATCATCAGAATGAAGACAGTGAAGATTCCTGTGAATCAGTGCCTGGAATGCTCATGCAACTTTAGTTTGTCTTTTAAGTTTAGTTAAAAATGAAACAAACCCCTGGAGTGGCGGTGCACACCTGTAATTCTGTCACTTTGGAGGCTGAGACAGGAGGATCATGAATTTAAGGCCCCTCTGGGTGACATTGAGAGACTCTGTCACAAAACAAACAAAGCCACCAACACCAACAAAACCCCAACCTGACACAACTCTGTAGGAAATTGATAAAATTTGGAGAGGACCTATTAAATATTTCTTCAGGTATATAGGGGTATTGTGCTGAACAATTGGATTTGGATGCAGTAGGTTGTGAACTTTGGCTAAGATGCCTCTAAGCCTCAGTTTCTACAACTCTGAAATAGGAGCAATAATATCTATATGGAGAAAAGCTAGGATGCTTTGGATTCAGTCTACGTGTGAAAATTAACAGTATGTTTCTTGTCAAATAATATACCTACTCAGGTATTTATTAAATCAGAATCTAAGGTACAAGTTTTAGGGAATAGATTATGAATATTTTTGTTCTTTGTTCAGGTGGCCTTATTAGGGGGCTTCTTTTGGTTTTCAGAGTATAGTTATCATTTATATTAATATTTGTTTTACATATTTAAACTCTTGAAGTATTTTAACTTTAATTTTATACTGAGCTTAAATAATGAAAACTGACATTTATTTTAGTAACACCAGATTAAGTGTCATTGTAGAGTGATACAACAGGGCTGGCAAACTGTTTCTATAAAGAGCCACATAGTAAATATTGTAGGTTCTGTGGGTTACCTGCAGTCTCTATTGCATATTCTTGCTTGAAAATTGTTTTTGCTTTTATAATCTTTTAACATAAAAAATATTCTTAGATCAGGGCGATATAAAAACAGGTTAGGGGCCCAATTTCATCTATAGGTAGTTGATTAAAACCCCCTGGTCTGGACTGGAGGTGTGGCTCAAGTGATAGAGAGCTTGGTGAAGCCCTGAGTTCAAACCTCGGTCCCAGCACCAAACAAAACCCTGGTCTGTAGAATTAATTGTACAGTTTTCAGCTTGCAACATGCATCCCTCTTGTAACCTGGTTTCTTTACATAGCTCATCATCATCTTAGTTTTTGCCAGCAAGATTAAAACTCCCCTGTGTAGTTTAATATTTTCTTTTTCTTTCTTTCTTTTTTTTTTGCAGTAACTGGCATTTCAACTCAAAGCTTTTAACCTTGGTAGGCAGGTACTCTACCACTTGAGTCACTCCTTTAACCTTTTTTGTTTTAGCTTGTTTTTTTTTTTTTTTTTTTTTAAATAGTGTCTCATGTTTATGGTCAGGCCTGAACCATGATCCTCCAATTTGTGCTTCCCCCATAGGTGGGATGACAGGCACACACATCCACACGCAGCTTTTTACTAGGTGAGATGGAGTCTCTTGCACCTTTTTGCCTCAAACCATGATCCTCCGTTTTTCTGCCTTCTCAGTAGCTAGGATTACAAGCATGAGCCACTGCATCTGGCTAAACTGTTTTAAAAATAGCCTTCACTGTAAGATTTTACACAAATGGCTTTTTTTTCCTTACTATTTCTTTCATAGTTTCTCTTTCTGCCCTCAAAACATATAGACATTTATGGCTAGTCTTACATACCTTGTTATTATACTTAGAGCAGTAAGAATATATGAAAGTAAATGCTCAGATTAATTTCAAAATTTATGTTTCATTGGAGTTGTAGGTTTTTTTTTTTGTTTGTATGTTGCTTATTTCACGAGGTTTGAAGAATAGTATTTGTGAAGCCATTTTGAAAACTGATATAGTCTGTAGATGTAA